AAGTTTTAGCCCCGTTAGAAATGTCTTATTTGAAATGGCAAAAACCACAATTTGTCGCCAAAGACAGAATTCATAGTCTTGCTAAATAACAGTGGTCTAACACGCTCTGTAGCAAGGTACCTAAAGAAGTGTTTTGAAATAAGACAGCAACCTCAGTGACAATTTACTTTCCCAATTAAGTTTTGCATTTTTTCTATCTTTTTATTGTATAATTGAACGATACAAAATTTGACTTATGTCACCAAACTGTACGTTTTGACGACTCGTATGCAATTGTAAGATTATATTTCTGATATACTCGAAGTGAATCTCAGCACTGTGCTTTTTATAAATGTCATGGTTCGGTTAATAATTTCTGGAAACTGTACAGAAAATCACATTATTTGTTTGTTCATAGTTTTTCTAAATTTCAGTTTTTTATTGTTCATAATTATTTACAGCAATAACACTTTTTTCTGTTGTGAAACCATTTCCAGTTATTATGATTGTGTACATGACAGCTTTGCCCCACACAATAAGACATGTATGGGTATGTGTGAGTATGTTTCATGGGTTAATAGGCCACTTCTTTGCTTTAATTCCAACCATATCTCTGGAAATATCATTTGTTGTTTATCATCCATATTTCGATATCCCACAATGTCTGGTAATTCTAACTAAATACTAGTTCGCAAAATTTGCCCAGCCTTGCTTCTACTCCCATATTGTCTTTAATAGTGGAGGTTAATGCAGACATATTGTAAATTACACAGAGGTAACACTACAATACATTTCCTGGTATTACACAACAGTCTTTGTGCTGAGGCAGTTATGGTTCATAACCATCGCCAGTTCTCTTGTTTTAATTGTTTTCACTACATTAGATCCCGCCATGCAATGCGGTTTGAATTACGTTGGTGCGAAAAATGCTCAATGATTCACCGACACTGATAGTAAGTGATATTTACATCGGCTACAACTATGCCCCACCCGAATTTATATTGAAATGTTGCTTCTCGGCAGTAATTCTTTTATCCGACATGCGTTATTATAAAACTATTCATTATTATTCTTTTAGTTGTTTCGAACAAATTCCCAGAGTCCTGGAACACAAGCATAATTAATAAATACATATTTGTTTATCATAATTGTCTACCCAACTAACCAAAACATAACCGTTTACAAAGTCTGTCGCCGACACTGGGACACGTTTCGATCTGACTAATTCCACGCAATTGTGATGTTTGTTGTCAATCTATTCCCAAAACAAAACCCTCCAAGTAGGTCACTATCTTAAGGTAGAAGCCTAGTTATAATTTTTGACAAAATTGGTCATAAATCGCATGACAATGTTCATTAGTTTATTATGTACAATTATGAAGCTGTATAATGAAATAGTATTATTTTTCGTGTTACAGTTATGCTTTTTGAGAAACGTGTCCCAATATTTTTTTTAAAATTGCTATTTTTAGAACAATTCCATAGAACATAATGTTAAAGAAAAATTGCATTTTTTGACACTTTTTAAAACCCAGATTTTTTTAATAATTCAGAACAACAAAAGGTACTCCATCATTAAGAATATATGATTTTTTCAGCCTATGTCACCAGGCTAGATTTTGAGATGTTGCATAATATCTCTGCCATAGGAACCTGTGGTAAAAGTGTTATAATAGTGTCAAAATGGCGACTTTTCACTAAAATACAACCACCCATTTCTCGAAAAAAAGGCTGGTGACCCCCAACTTTTTTTAGGTCAATATCCTTATATTGCCTTGGAGTACAATTTATTGCAAAATGAATAAATTCTGTGTTTTTTTTTAATTCATGAGTACCTTAATAAGGATACCGGTAAACGTATTACAGTTTTTAAAAAATACAATTTTCATTCAACCAAAGGTTGTATCCCCAGTGGTAGTCCATGTTCAATACACTCTCACAATGAACTTTAGTGTTTTTATTCCTGAAGACCAGTCTTAATAAATATGCGCTCACACGTCACTCTGGTGATCTCCGCGGCGACGACGCGAACGCGCTTCTGGATCTATCGAATGTGCGCATGAATACGAGCAGCGTAGCATTATGCGCGCGCACTCTCGTTTCGCCGGATCCGTACGAGGTGCCAGTTTTAAAGCTCGGATACTACGAACACCCACAGCTCAAGATAGTGGTTCTCCGACAGGAAACTGCCGTTCTAACTTGCTTGTCTGAATACGGGTATGCTCCCGACATCAAACTCGTGACAATATTCGTTGACTCAGTGTATGTCGGGCAGCCACAGAATGTCGTCCTTCGAATGCTCGATCAAGGTAGGAACACATTTCATGTAACGTAAATGTTTCCATGACGTCACGGTTCTATATATCATCATGTTCTAGGGTACGTTCGCGTCCCGGTTCGCGTC